CTTTATTCCCAAAGGAATCACATATCTTTATTCTCGAATGAATCACATATCTTTATTCCTGAAGGTATTACCTATCTCTATTCCCAAAGGAATGAAACATCTCTATTCTTCAAAGGAGTCATATATCTCTATTCCCGTAGGAATCACATATCTCTATTTCTGAAGGAATCACATATCTTTATTCCCAAAGGAATTATATATCTCTATTCTCGAAGGAATCACATATCTCTATTCCCGAAGGAATCACATATCTATATTTCCAAAGGAATCACATATATCTATTCCCAAAGGAATAACATATCTCTATTCCCGGAGGAATCACATATCTTAATTCCCGAAAGAATTACATATCTCTATTTATGAAGGAATTACATATTCTTATTATTAAATAAGCACTTAATTTATTAAGTTGTACTTATGTATCATGTTATAACATGTATGTACAACTCATTTCTTTCATTTATTAGAATCCTACTCTTTACAATAGAACGTATAACTAATGTGAGAATGTTAAAGTTCCATAGAAGTCACCTTGTTAGTTAGTGAAAACTAACTACCATCAGCTCCAAATCACCAACTGATGCACTTGCTTAATCTTCTTTTCCAAAGCCTATTCACATATCATATAAAGTTCCTTAGAACTCATCCTAATCCATTTAGAGCTTAATAACATTCCAATTTAACAAAAATCATATTTTGTCCCAAAATACTAACTTGAAAAATCTTTGTCATGAAACTAATTAAGCTCCATGAATTAAGTTTCCGTACTACTTAATCCATCAAGTTCTTAACTCAATTTCTGCATAACGTGATTTTCACTATTTAGGGTTTAAAACCCTAATGAGTAAATACATGGATTCAACCATGGAGTCACCATGAAAGGCTTCTAATTAGCTTCTAAACACTTGCAATGACATCATAATCAAGTTATTCATCAATTATTTTGAGTTTCAAACTCGGATTGACATTTACCTTAAAAGCTCAAAATTTCAATCGGGAAGAAAATTACACATTTATGTGTTTCTAGAGATTACAACTTGTTTCCCTTGATACCAGCCTTCTCTAGACGACTTTATAGCCTCAAAATCGCCCTAAAAGAGCTCTGGTTTGAATCTTGTGAACTGGGTTCGAGAAAAAAGGTTTAACATATTAAATATTTATTTAGGCACCTTCACCGCACCGCAACAACCTCCTAACCACACTGTGGTGGCTGCATTTCCCAGATTCCATTCCAACTTCAAATAATCGTAACTTCTTTGTTTCAAACTTGATTTCAATGATCTTTATATCCATGCACAAGTATTAACAAGCCCTACAATTCTATATAATTACTTTTGGCTTAATTCATACAAAACTTAATCCATTAATTAATCCATGGCAAAAAGCTCAAAATACCAAATTTTCCCATTTTACCCTTTATGGCTCAAATGCACAATCTCTTGCCTTTCTTCTCTTGAACCAACTTATCTCATCTCATAATCACGACTTAACTTATCTCGGCTAATTTCACGAAGCTACATCTTCAGAAATTCATGAAATTCATGAAATTCATCTAAATGACCAAATTACCCTTTTGGTCAACAATCCACTCAACGTTAATTCTTTCTAAATTTCAGGTTCTTACAATTTCAAATGTTTCACATTTATATTTTATCATATAAAATATATTTACAATGACAATAGTTGTTAATGAAGTATCTTGCATTTTATCTTAGACATTCCTTTTGTAAGGATGCAATAAATCACCATGTATTATTCATAACAAAATTCATTTCTATACTATTTAGACAAAATAACATTAGTTATATTTTATATATGTAAATAAGATTCACATATGTTAAATAAAACATATTTTTTTCCTTAAAAAATCTATGTTTTGAAGTTTAAATATGTATCTCTTGTTTTTATTGAATAAAGATGACTATGTCACACATAAGTTTGATTCAAATAATACTTGAGTCTAAAAATGTTTTTTTATAGAACTATTGTTTGGAATATATATATATATATATATATATATATATATATATATATATATATATATATATATACTTTATAATTGTATTAAAAGATCTAATTATCGAAATAAGAATAATCATTTCAAAATATGAATACGATCATTTGAAAAACGATTAAGTAAATTATAAATCATCTAATTATACAACCGAGACATATATTTAGTCAAATTAAATTTAAAACATACATTAGCCAAAACAATCATCATTTTACAAAACAAGTCTTTTACGTTCAAAACATAAATAATAAACTCCAATGTTCTAGTCTGCAACTTTTGCTTCTTGGTTCAAGTGGAATCCCAAAAATATTACTGTCTGCTCGTAGTCTGAACTTTTTCCGAAAAATGTATTATATCCAAGGAAAAATGACTTGTGAGGATAATTATCTATTCATTGTGTACACATTTAGACGACTTTTTTTATACACGATTGATGATAAATTTTTTAAAGTGTTTAAATGTTACATTTGTGACCAATTATCTTAGTTTACAGCTTACTTGACATATATGACACATCTTCGTGGCAAAGTAACAAGTAATGACATAAAAGGGTAATTATCAATTTGTTTGTTCATATTAAAGATTTTTTTTATACACAATTGTCCATCGATCTTGCTAGAAGTGTTCAAATGTTATCATTTGTAACTAATATTCAGTTTTGATGAGTAAGTAACTTTGTATTATATCTTCTAAAATTTGATGTTACTTTTAAATTTATTTTTATTGCATATTTTATATATTGTTACAAATAAATTTGATTTTATTGAATCTTCCTATAGAAGTAATAGCTACGAATTTACCATGGAACAAATTGCTACAAAATTTGTTACGGAAAAATAGTTATGACATTTGCTACGAAAATATAGCTATGAAATTTGCGATGGAAAAATGGCTATGTAAATATAGTTACAAAATTTGCTACGGAAAATGGCTACAAAATTGCCATGGAAATAAGGATACAAAATTTGTTATGAAATTATGACTATGGAAATTGCTATGAAAATATAGCCACAAAATAACATTTAAAGTTCATTTAAACATTAAAAATATTTTTAATTAAAAATGAAAGTTTGAAAACTATCAAAACTTCAATCAAAATAAAACATTGTTTAAAAGTAATATAATGGATATCACAATCGATTTCATGACACTTATTCATCGAATAAGTCTAAGTTATTTCAAGGGTTTGACATTATAAAGTTATATATAAAAGAGCGTAAAAAGTATATGAAATATAACCATTTTCAACCTTAAACCATCTATAGAACAACATTTATATTTATACTTCTTTATTGAGAAAAAAACTACATATTTACAAGTATGTAGTCCCTTTACGAATGAATGCATGATGATCATAATTTATACAACATTGTATACGTCTTTAAACTCTTTTTTTCTCAAAATTATTATACTTGTAAAATACATGAATACTACATGTTATGACAAATAATATATGATGTATACATCATCATAAAACACATTATGGTTATTGACTGTATAAATCGCCTTAAGCATTTGACATGAAAGAAAAATGAGTAACAAAATAGGCAAATGGATAAATGTTTTTTTTTCTATTATTAGATATATCAAAATTGCTAATAATTGCTTTATCAATATTTAAAAATTTCACTGTTCGTCATAAATGAGATTGAACAATTCTAACAAAATTAATGATTAACCGTGTATAAAGAATTAAAAGTTGCCTTAATATGAACAAAACAGATAGATAATTACCCTCCTATGACATTTTCCGTTTTAATTTGTCACGTAGATTCCACGTATACACAAAATAAGCTATAACCTAAGATTGTCGGTTATAATGGTAACATCTGAACACTTTTTAATAAGTTTGTTGGTCAATTGTATATAAATTTTTTACCTAAGTATGAACAAAACGAATAGATAATCACCGTTCTAAGTCACTTTCCCTATTTCCAAATTTCGTTGGTAATTTTCAGTAAAATGCCGACGGAACGTCCTGTCGCTAGACGTTGCTAAATAGTTGTAACCAATTAGGGTGTTTTTGATGTTGAAATTCTGTTGGAATTTTGTTGTCGGAAATTGCCCATATTCTTAATATTGCACGTCATCATATTTGAATTTGACTATATAGGTAAAAGTTCATTTGAGAGACGAACATAATTTTGTGAGACCGTGAGACCAAACTTTTTTAGTGACATATTCTAATATTCTATTGTTCGTAAAAATAAAATATGCAGTATATTCTAATATTATATGTTTTAGACTATTTCAATGTTAAATATGTTAACATTATTATTTTAGAGTATTAGAATATTATACATATTTAATTTAAATAAACACTAGAATATTAAAATATTTCATTAGAAAAAGTGGTCTCACGGTCTTACAAAATTAGGCCGTCTCACATGAACCTAACCTTGACTATATATTCTTGTAATCTGTTCGTTATGGATTTGGTTCCCCAAATAATACTTTTTTTTTCTCCTGTTGTTCTGTATTTTCTTTTCGCCTTTGTGCACAACTTAACGGTGGTATATTTTTGTCATTCAACTTTTAGAAACAATATATAACAAAGCTACTTTTTATTATTAAATTTTAAGTCAAGTATTTTAACGAAAAAAGGAATTGTATTAGTTGAAGTTATTACTTAACGTATACCTTTGGTACCTTTAGTTGCTGAAGATAAAAACTTCCACCAAAAACACAAACATATTATGCGCCACTTTTTGTTCCATACTTGCTCCATTTTATTGTACCATTAAATTATTGGACGAGTTTATACTTTGTAGTACCATTATATACAGTAGAGACAGAGTGCCGTATTTATCTAATTTCCCCTTTTTCTTATCTAAATTATGCCTCTAACAACTCATAACATGAACCTAAGGGTTTTAGCTCACCAACTATGCAAACACCAGAATGCAAAACCTTTAACTTTAACAAACGATTCCACAATCTTTTTCCCTACAAATACTTGGGTATTCTGTAAATCTCCATCACAACAAGAAATTGAAAGCATATAATTTTGTGCTAAGAAATGGCAGCCATCAATCTTTCTTCACTTCTTTTAGGGTTTTTAATGCTGATTCTTTTTAATGGTAGTAATGCATTGAGTTCTAATTACTACGATCAAACATGTCCCATGGCTGAAGCAACTGTTACAAGTGCTGTCGAGAAAGCCATGTTCAATGATAAAACAGTCCCTGCTGCACTTCTTAGAATGCAATTCCATGATTGCTTCATTAGGGTAAGTTGTATTTGTCTTTTCTCACTTGATTGCTTCGTTATAACTCATTTTGTTTAGAAGCTAGCTAGTGGTTTGAACAATTCAGTTTTTAGTACCTTGACATATATCAACATAAGTTCGAACTTGAAACTTCAAGATATGAAAAACTACTTAATAGTCATTACAAGATAGGATAGTGTCCCAATATTAGGGACAAATCTACATAATCTGTTGGCTACGCATAACCTGAAAACATTATTGTAATATTTAGCAATGTATATATAAATTAAGTCAAACACTCAAAATTTTATCATTCTAATAGATTTATGTTTACCAGATTATCATGGTTAACATAAACTCAAACTTTTAGTATCATTCTAGTGCATACCCTGATAATAATGAATCTTGAATTAGCAATTATACCTGATCATTGTAGTAATGTTTTTGTTTGAAGGGATGTGATGGTTCAGTGTTGTTGAACTCAACAAGAAAGAATAAAGCCGAAAAAGATGGACCTCCAAACATTTCGCTTCATGCATTCTATGTTATAGACAACGCCAAGAAAGCGTTAGAGGCTATGTGTCCTGGTACAGTGTCGTGTGCTGATATCGTAGCTTTAGCAGCAAGAGATGCAGTTCATCTGGTAATTAACTAATTAAGCATATATCTGATTTTTATAACAATGGTTTCAATCAAATAACATCAAATACTCTAATTTTTTGGATAAATCACAACGCATGTATAAATAACAATCACCATGAAATATAATGCAACAAAATTGGATAATTAACCCTACACCTTATGCCCTAATTATATTTTAGATAAATCCTAAACTCTAATTGTGTTTTTACAGTCTGGAGGTCCCAGTTGGGCAGTGCCAAAAGGGAGAAAAGATGGCAGGATTTCGAAAGCATCCGAAACCAAACAATTGCCCGCTCCCATCTTTAATATATCTCAGCTCCAACAAAGTTTTTCCCAAAGAGGTCTTTCCATTAATGATTTGGTTGCACTTTCAGGTAAATTCCAAACTATTTCTACATGTAAAAATTGTGGCTTTGTTACATGGAGTCCATAATTATAATCAAGAAACACAACTTCTTTCTTACTAGGAGGACATACACTTGGATTCGCTCATTGCTCCTCATTCCAAAACAGGATTCACAACTTTGCCACTAAACAAGACATTGATCCATCCATGCACCAATCGTTTGCAGCTAGCTTACAGAGCGTTTGTCCAATGCATAACAAGGTGAGAAATGCGGGTGCGAATTTGGATTCAACCCCTACTATTTTTGATAACAGATACTACAAGTTACTTCTTGAAGGGAAGAGCATCTTCACTTCCGATCAAGCCTTACTCACTAACCCAACGACTAAAACATTGGTCAATAAGTTTGCAAACTCGAGAGATGAGTTTGAGAAAGCTTTTGTGGAATCTATGATCAAGATGAGCAACATAGATGGTGGTGGCCAGGAGGTTAGATTGAATTGTAGAGTGGTAAATTAATTTTGTTATCATGTTTTTTTTTTTTGCAAATTTGTGACTCGTGAGCATGATCATTCAGATTCCAGTTTGGAATCCTTGGTGTTGTAACTAGATTTTTGTAAGGATTCAACAATAAAGGTTGTAAATGTGTGGAAGCGTGCTTCAGTTGTTTTTTTCTTCTAAATCTTGTAATGTGTGTAAGATAACACCTTTGTATAATCATTTTTGAAGCATATTTAATTTATCTTTCTAAGAGATTTATACGACCTTTAGAAAATAAGCTTACACTGAGATGGATAAAACAATTCGATTATGAAACCATTTTTGTTTGATCATCCGAAACCGGTCATTAGAATACTAACCCGTTCTATAATAGACGTCTGAGTCGTTCTAAACAGTAACACTTGTGGGACAATGACTGATTTAAAACCGGAATGAAATAATTTTTTAAGGAAATCAGGTTTCACTCTAACCCGTACGCTATGATTAGAACTCATGATTTCCTATTCTCTTTAGTATCTCGTTTTCTAAACAAAAAATACAAGTTTTTTAAGGACCATGTTCATCTCAATACTTTCATTTTCTTCGGTCTTAATAAAGACAGATAGTCGTCCATCGGAGCTAGTATGGTACCTTCGTTTTTACAAAAAGGAAACAAACCCAAAGCAAAGAAAATTATAGAAAAACCATATTTGTAAGCCCTAAAATGCGCAAATCAAGTGCAAATGAAACAAAAAATTGGTTGGTGATGTTAGTGTCATAAATCCTTTTAGTACAATCGGGATGAATTAACTTAAGACATGCTCAGTTCAGCTTTGGATATAACACGAGATTGAAGGTCCGAAGTGCACACTCAAATAAACTAATATGATCTCGGGAACACATGGTAAGGAGGCAGTACCTTTGGTGGGGGTTCAAAGGGGCATTATCCCTAGTGGGGGTCCAAGGAGCACTTGTCCCCGATGGTTGTCCCTTGGACCAAAACTGTAACATCCCAAAAGCCAACCATAACTTTTTTAAAAATGAGAATATGAAATTACTAAAAAGGGGTTCCATCCATACCATGATCAAACATAGTATCACAAAATCATCATCAAAAGCAGAAGCCAAATAATTGTTTTGAAAACAAAATCATAATAAAAGAACATAGACTAGATGTCATGCCACCGAAAATGTCCAGATATCCCAATCAAGCCAGCTCCTTACCCTTCGAATCTTAAGGAACTACAACTAAAGACGTAAAGTAGCATATGTAAGACTAAGGTTTAGTGAGAAATCATAACACTTGTTCATTATACATATCATATGCAATTTACATCGTACACATAAACATAGAATGATCCTACCATATAGTATATGCTAGCACAAATAACACCAGTAGAATTAGATTCCCTCCGAGAGGCTTTTCGTGATCTTATATATATATATATATATATATATATATATATATATATATATATATATATATATATATATCACGTAGTCCATATAATAAGTAAGTTCATGAGAACTCACTTAACTAGAAGACAAGATGGAAATCCACAAACTCAAGCTAGAGGTATCAAGTCTTCCCCAAAACTACACAATAAATAACCCTAACTTGTTTATTCAGGTAAGCACTTATTTACACTTCCTTATCGATTCTAGGTCTATTAAAAGCTAATATAGGAGAAAAAAACCATTTTGCCCCTCCAAGACATAATCCCAACACAACTAACCAAAAGTCAAACTTGGTCAAAAAGTCAACAAACAACAGTCACCACGCCGCGATTGATCTTCTGTCACCACGCCGCGATTGATCTTCTGGCCGCATCGCGGTCTAGCAACAGAAAATTAGTTGCCGAATTTACTTGACAACCGCGTCGTGGCTAGTCTGCGGTTCCTCTGCCAGAACACTTCACTTATTAAACACTTAATCCACTAAGTATATGACCCATACTTTACAGGAGGTTTTAATGCTCACTTATGATCCTTAAAAATCATAACTTTGTGGATATGTATGTCATATGCATGTCTCACATCATTCTAGGTCAAAATAGTAAAAAAAAAATTGTCATAATCCCATGTATGGAACCAAATGGATATTAAAGACTAGATCCCTGATACAAATACTCTTGGGGGCCTTAAGGGACAATAAAGTTGCAACTTTATTCTGGAGTTTACCAAAACTTCATCTATAATCCATAAAAATAGGACAAACAAGCTTAAATTTCAAGATCTAAAGGGTAATGAGCATAAAGATTGAGTCTTGAAGACTTATAAAGGTCTAGAAGAAGCTAATACTGGATAATAACCACCACAAGCTCCAAAGTGGGTTGGATCCTCCTTGAAGTGCTCGAAAAACACCAAGAACTCAAGGGTTTGAGAGATGAGGGCTTAGGGGGGGGGGGGAGTGGGTTTCTGTTTCAGGGGGTATAGAGGCTGATGGAGAGAGACCCTAGGAGTGAGTGATGTATATATAAGGCCTAAATCCCGACATCTAAGGTTTTATGTCAAGCCCCCACCGCATCACAGTCCACATCTGATCGCGTCGTTACTTAAGTGACATGGCCATGCCGCGAAAAACACCAGAGTTGCGTCGCGGTTTAACAAAGCCCTAAATCCCGAAACTTGAAGAGTCTTGACTAAAGAAAATCATACCTAAGGAACATGCATTATAATTCTCCCCCACTTATTTGAATTGTATCACTAAAATACGACTCATTAGAACAACTCCGAATACTGACTGCACATCTCCTCTTTCTGCTCCCATGTCCATTCCGATCCTTTTTTATACCGCCCTCAAACCTTTACTAGCATAATTTACTTATTCTGAAGCTTCTTCATTTTACGATCGAGAATAGCTATAGGTTGGTCTACATAGCTTAATTTCTCGTCCAACTGAATATCCTCGAGTGACACAACAACGATATCATCCGTAATACACTTCCTCAACAACGATACATGGAAGGTATTATGGATATGTTAGGGAACTCCAAACGGTAAGAGACCTTCCCAACCCGGGATAAAATTATGAAGGGTTGAATATATTGGGGTCCTAACTTTCCTCGCTTCCTAAATAGAATGATCCCCTTCCTTGGAGATACCTTCAACAATATATAATCCCCCACTTAGAACTCCAAGTCTGACCTCCTTTTGTCGGCATAACTCTTATGTCAGCTTTGAGCGGTCTTAAGGTGCTCCCTGATATGTTGAATATATTATGTGGTCCTTTGAGCAACTTCAGTGCTCCCAACCTTACGATGTCCTACCTTCCCCTAACAAATCGGGGTTCGCCCGCCTCCCACATAATATCTCATATGAAGGCACCCCAATACTAGCATGGTAACTATTGTTGTAGGAAAACTCGGATAGTGTCAAGAAGGTATCATAAATACCTCTAAAATCTAACACACAAACGTGCAGCATGTCCACCAAAGTCTGAATAGTTCTCTCGCTTTGGCCATCAATCTGTGGGTGGTACAGTGTACTCAACCTCAACTACGTAGCCGAATCCTCATGAAACCATTTTCAAAAATCAGATGTGAATCTGGTATCTCTGTTAGATATTACTAAAACTGGCACTCCATGTTGAGATACTACTTCCTTTATGTAGATGTCCGCAAGCTGCTCTACAGATGAACTTGATGGGTTTTGAGCACTATAACACTCCTATGGTGCACATACAACCCTAATTCTTTGGATCTAAGTTTCTCTAGTTATACATGCAATAAACAATTTTCCAAAGCATGAAGTCTAACTAGCATGCAATTAGATATATGAATCATAAAAACTAGTTAGAAGGTTACCTCTTGTTGTAGCTTGAGTTACTTGGCCTTTAAGAACTTAGCACCTCAAGTGTGATGCCTCAAATGGTTCACAAAACAACACCAACAATTGGAGAGCTTGAGAGAGAGGATATGAGGCACTCAAATCGACTATAGTATCTCTAAGGTTACTTGTGTGTCTCATTCTAGCCAAGGGGTTACATATATATAGTGTAGAATTCCAAGGGTTATGTGTAAACCCTAATTCTTACACTTGGGCTTGTAATGGACTAACACTATATGGATATTTACATAAGCTTAGCTCATCACTAATCAACCATGCATGGATTATTAGCCCAACCTATATGTATCATTGATATACACAATCAGCCCCTATATATTTAATTAGTCTCTTTTGATCACAAAATTAATACTTGATCAATACTAATTAAATAATAAACCCCTTTCTCAAATATCCATCCTATCAGATTGTTCTGGTGAATGCAACCCAAAATGGACTATGCTACTCTCGGGTCAAGTACATACCAATTATAGTTATAGGCTTAGACACATAATCCAACAGTCTCCTACTTGGATAAGTCTAATAACTATAACTGCAAGTACGACTTAAAACCCGACTAACAATCGTAGCTCTTAAAACCCCCTGTCGAACTTTGACGCGCCATTTTAGATAAGGGATCGTATAATCTTCTGTTCTTCAAGATATCATGCGGAAAAATACATGGAACATAGTCATACTTATTGTCCAACAGTTTGTTTCCCGATTTCCGATTTGTTTGACATAGAACTTAATTGAACACATCAATTGAGTTCTGACCGGGCCCGTCACATAGGTCAAAACAAAATCATCGAGGGGCCCAAGATATCGCTTTTAATCCTCCAAGGATAAAAGGAACAGATATACTTCGACTTATATGCTTGTACTAACTACTTGTTAAATCATACACAATAGCACGTTTTATAACATCAAGTTACTGATGCGTTTTCGCACTATCAGTGTACAACCAACTCATAGTCAACAACTCATACATCTCGGTTTGAAGACTATATGATATTATCGTCTCACAATCACTCGTGAGAGATTCCATGAAGTGGTTCATGTGAGCGTTGGTTTAATCCAATACTCAGACCTTATGAGCACTCTTGAATGTTGTAGCAAACTTTTGCCATGTCTAAACACTCTAGACAATCTACAAGCCAAATTCATGATAGTCTTGCCTCAATACTTACTTTCAAAGTATGATCGACTGTGGATAGTTTGAATAATTTTATTATTCTGGAAGTCAAAACATGCAAAATGAAACAATAGTAAACAATTGACACAAGATAGTAACTTTACTCATAAATAAAACTCCTTTTATTTAATCATCAAATGTCAATTATATTTTATCTATTACAAGTTTCTAAACAGCTATC